CTCCCTGCCCTCCACCCCAGCCATGTCCCTCTGCCGACACCTGGACTCACCCACTGGATTGCTTAAGTCGCTACCACATACATCACGTTACCCTAAAACCAACAGTATTGCTCTCCTTTTCCCCAAAAAAAGTTGTATATCCAAAAAAAAAGGCACGGCAATTGCAATAAACGTAACTGATAAACCTACCCCTGCTAAATTCCCCACATACTATACAATATATCACTAAAATATATGTAAGCACGATATCTTGTTTAACAGAAGATAGATTTCTGATGCTAATAGAAAGAGTATCCTGAAGTATCCATGAGTATCGCAAACCCATGTGTGTTCACACACAGCACGTGTGCCGTTTCTTCACGTACCCATCACACAGGTTTTTGGGCCCTGGGAGCAGCAGGAGGCAGCCCCCCGTTGCCTGCCCACTTTCACCGACCCCCATTCAGTCCCTCCGAATTAGTTTAATTTACACAGCCACGCAAGCGAGTGTTAGCGCCAAAACGTCAAATCCAACCTCCAGGCGACTTAAATGCCCAGAAAACCCCCTGAGATATCTTTGTTTTCCTGCTCTGAAAGCCAGGGCCTTGGCCACGAGGAGAACCAACGCTCGCTGGTTGGATTCCTCCTCTTCCAACTGAAACCTACCGAGCAGAGAGCAGCCGGGGTGACAAATCGCCAGGCACGGCGTATTCAATTCCAGGATCCATTTCAGAGGCGCACAGCCTGCTTCAGATGCACCGCGCTGGGTGCAGGTGATGCAGCAGACGACACCGCTAGCTATCACGACATGAACGGGCGTCTCACTGCCCCCCATCCCTCCCTGCACGAACTGGCAGCACCGCACATCCAAACACGATCCAGTAAATATCAGTCTCAGCAGAGAGGAGGACGCCGGACACTGGCAGCTTAGGACTTAAATGCCTCAAAAACCAGTTCTGTTGTTGGGTAGTGGTTTTTAAAAATATATAAAAGAAAGAAAAGCTTAACAAGGCATCGAAGCAGGCTTCAGAGTTTAAACCTGAATGTGCAGTCATTAATGATCGACCTTGGTACCTCTTTATTTTACAAAGATGCCACGCAAAATTCAAAGCGATGCTGAACATCGCTATCTCCGCCAGATTCAGTGGCTTGAGCCATGCGCCAGTCAGCCCAGCAGAAACAACTACAGAAAACCTGTACAAGCTCGACCGTAAATCTGAAAAGCACGTGTTCAGCGGCGTTAAAAAATAATTACAGGTTAAGGCCCCTGGTACCTCTTTATTTTACAAAGATGCCACGCAAAATTCAAAGCGATGCTGAACATCGCTATCTCCGCCAGATTCAGTGGCTTGAGCCATGCGCCAGTCAGCCCAGCAGAAACAACTACAGAAAACCTGTACAAGCTCGACCGTAAATCTGAAAAGCACGTGTTCAGCGGCGTTAAAAAATAATTACAGGTTAAGGCCCCGCTGTTATTTTTGTAACTGTACACAGGGGCACGAGAGTCAAACTCTTCTGAACTTTTCTGATACGCACGAGCGAGAGTAAATCTGCTTACTTCAGAATTTGTAAGGACATTCCAAGGGCCACCAGAGATTTCTCTGCGTTTCCAACAGCCTCTTAATTCCGGCAGCTAATTTGAATTA